GGCTATTTGAACACCAGGGTTTTGGAGACCCTCCAGCGTTCGTCTCATTATTTCATCGATCACGAGGTTAAAAAGGAATGGAGAGAGTGGGCATCCCTGACGGACATCGATTTGTGTATGGAAACTTTTGGAGAGCTCTCCGTACACTCTCACACGTCCGGAATTCTGAGAATACAAAGAACGTGTTATGTTTACAAACTTCCGGGGCATTCCTTGGTGGGCAAGCGTCTCAAGAAGAACAGACCGATCAACTGAGTCGAATGTGCCTCGGAAATCCAGGAATACTAAAATCGTGGGTCGCTTATACGTATGGCGTTGTTCTAGCACCTGACGCAGTGTGAAGATTTGGTCAACACAACCCCTACCAGGCCGGAATCCCTCTTGCTGCTCTCGGGTCAGTATCTCACGAGCCACCGTAAGGTGACGAAGCACAATTGACGCCAACACTCTCGTTACAACCGGGGTCAAGCTGATCCCCCTGTGGTTACCACACTCACTACGCGCCCCTTTTTTGAAAATGGGGGCTGAAAATGGGCTGATTAGCATACTACATAACTCGTACATAGACAGGATATAGTGCCACTCATCCTCCGATCATGAAATTTACATCACGTGGCCCCTCGAGAGATGAGTTCACCTCTTCCATCTGACCATGTAGTGGGGTTCCCGGGCTGGAAAATGAGTGCTGAACGAAGAAGTTGACATCCTCTTTATAAAGGAAACTACTCACAAGGTTGCCGAAATCTCTTTGACAGCCCACGACCGGTTTCACACTTTTTGGAGCTCACCAGGTAGGCACAGTCCCGGAGCTTCCGTCAATCTTATGATCTACTTGAACCCAAATTGGACTCTTTTCGAGAAATTCACTCATTTGAAAAGCAATTTGGGTTTCACGAGAGACTCAACTGAATCTCTGCCTTATCATATTCTACAACTGAATGTGCTGCACACAGGTCGCTTCATGTTTCAGTTGGCGCGATATTCGAGATGTCGCAGTTTATTTTCATAAAGGAAACTACTCACAAGTTGCAGAATAGCATAAACGGGAGATTCAGTTGGGTCTTGTGAAAACCAAATTGATTTGCAAATGAGTGTATTCCTCGAAGTTGTTGACGTCGTATTTTTATAAGTGGACTTTTGGCGATAACGGTAATTCCTTACGCCTACGTCCTTGCATATCAGTAACAGTCGGTACACTCTGTTTCCTCAGACAGTATCAAGTTTTTAATTTACGTTCACCGTATCCAATCAGCGCGTGGGTAATTCTTTCCCTCCAATCCTTGATCAGATCTCCCGAAATGCAAATCTTCGTCTGTCATATCTTATTCTATTCGTCTTGGATGGAATATGGCATGGTTTGGTGATATTCTACTCGGTCTCCCTGTTTCTTGCTGGAGGTGGCTACTTCTCCGAAGCCATTTTCATCGATTCACTGTCAAAGGGGAATCACTTCGACATCAGTCTTTGCGGGGGTAGTTCCATGGTCTACGTGATCGTAAGTGTCAATCTTCGAGTGATCTTCATGTCACGTGACATAAATTGGCCTGTCGTTGGAGGATTCATCTACACTCTGGTCTTCAATCTGGTGCTTATCATGGCCATACAGGTAAACAACTTTTTGGACAAACGTTGTTCAGTGGGGCTAATCAGATACTCGTACACTTGAGCTTTTAAGCATGCGGTTCACGTACCAATGTGACAACAAACAAGAACTACATTCTGTAGAAAAATACAAATTTCGATGGAAAATTTCATACCGAATCACATGGCTGAACAACATACTTCCAACTGAAGATAAACAAAGATGAAATTTAGAACCTATCGGGTTTCGGATCATGTGGTTCTAGGTCACTATGCGCGGTGTGCCAATGATTCAGTCAAAAAATCCAATACGAACCCGGATATTTGACATTATCAAGAATTCGTCAGCGATCCATGTGCGGTTGTTCAAAGCGACTTCATGGGTATTACCAGAGTGGTGGAATGCTACACATTGTTGATGTACATGGTTTCAAAAATGGTATTCAGGGGACATAGTTGATTTGGTGTTTGCATCGACTTTCACGAAGTCGATGCCGTTTTGAATTCTTGATGTGCATGAGGGAAAATGGTTGCATGGACAGAGTATATGATGATTTTGGTAGACAGTGTACAACCGAGAAAGTCAGCATGTGTTTACTAGACATATGAATTGCGTTGATTCGAGCAAAATTTGATGTGAAATACTGAAAACCTGTCCAAGGTTTCATGGTTAGCTCATCATCATTGTCAGCTGTAATAACCGCGTACTCGTCGTACACTGGTTGTAGCTGCCGCAGTTCCGTTCACCGATGTTTTTTTGGGAGGGATAGGTACAGTGGGCTGTCAAGTGGGGGGGGGCGGGTTGGAAAAGAAGCTATGCATTGAAGGCAACAGCTTCGATGCACGAGCGCCATTGAGGGCGCGNCTCTCTTCCACCCTTCACGTGGTTGTGCGAAAAGAGCCCTTCGAAGAAGTCGGTCGACTGGCATACGCAACACGTGGCCAAGCCAGCGCAACCTATGCAGTGTGGTCAGTTCATCTATCGAGGGTGTGTTATTTCTCCAGAATACCATTCGACGTACTTTGGAATTGCTGATCCGGTGTTCCCACCAGATTCGGGCAATGCTCCGAAGACATCGATGGTCAAACACTGAAATTCTTTTGAAGTCCTCGGCTCCCAACGGCCATGTTTCTGATCCATATAGTAATATGGAGCGCACCGCAGCATTGGATAGCTGGACAACGGTTTTCTGTTTCGGACGTGAGGAAATGAGAACAGAACCTGAGCTTACTATCGGTCCAGAGTTCAATCTCGTGAATTTTTTATCACTCTGTTAGAGATCGGTCTCCTCCGTTAGTGTTAAGTTCAAGGATCAAACTGATACCGACTTGCTGTCGTAATTGATTGTAACGCAGCACGCATTCTAAGAAGCGGGAAAACTCTGCTTTGAATCTGTTCCATAGAAAACGGACCGTCGGTCCTCTGACTGCACCCGCAGACAGTAATGCGTGCCAGCTCAGAGAACTGGCCAAGCGTATGTGCAAGTGTCCACTAGTTCGCTAGTTCCCTATGGATTGCTTTGCGTTTGGTTATACATCCCTTACATCCCCGTATCACCTGACAGTCATTACGCGTTAAACTGATGGCTTACCAACTCGTCTTATCCTTAGCCGGCCTCGACAGCTCGGTAGATTCCCGTTGTCCTCAGGATTTTAACCGTACATGAACTCGGAATTTCTAAATTACTTCCATAGATCATCAGTTGTCAGATACTGGGTGAAATGCTATTAAATTCAACGTACTTTCCTTTAGTGTTCTGGTTGATTTTCAGCCTAGAATCATTAACGACAGAATAGGACTTAATTTTTTAAAGCGGAATGAATAAACGCACTCTTTAGCGCCCCAGACAGTGAGGAATGTCAATATGGTCCCGACTGATCAATAAACAAATTTGGGTGTCAGTCAACAAATGTAGCATGGTATAACGTCCAACACGGATGTAAACGTTTCTTTCACTATATTCGTAGTACATCAGTCATGAGATTGCTGAAAATTCGTCAACAGCCCACGACCGGTTTTGCCCTTCTTGGGGCTCATCAGGTAGGCGCAGTCCCCGAGTTTCCGTCAACCTTATGTCCTACTTGAAACCAAATTGCACAAAGTTAGTGAACTACACTCATTTGCAAACTAATTTGGTTTTTCGAGAAACTCACCTTGAACCCACCTAAATCTCCCGTTTGTGGTGTTTCCAAGCAATTGAATGTGCTGCACCAGGCGGATAATTTCGTGCAATTCAGTTTTGAGTAGAACGTAAGGTTGGTAGAAACTCGGGGACTGCGTCTACCTGATGAGCCCCAAGAAAGGCACAACCGGTCATGGGATGTTGACGGACTTTCAGCAAACTTATGAGTAGTGCATTACGAATATACATGTATCGCGATATCCCGAATATCGTAGCGACTGAAACATGACACGGCCTGGTGCAGCACATTCAGTTGCCTGGGAACACCACAAACCAGAGATTCAGCTGGGTTCGCAAAAGTAAATTAGTTGGAGAATAAGTGTATTTCGTTTCTTTTACTAGTTTTCCAGTGACAGGGACTCTAATCTTTGATGACACAAAACATGTCTGCCCAGGTCACGATCGCCACAGATCTGCCAATCCAAAATCTGTCGCTAATGTTTGACGTCATGTCAGCAGAATGCGAGATCACTTGAAATTCAGAATGACGCTTCTTCTATTTGTCCACATGGGACCACAGGCTGTGTGTTGTTCAAACCATCCATTCACGTCGCTTACGCTGTTCGTCTACGGTCTAGAATCTTGGATGTGACTGTTTTCTCCTTTCTTTTACTCCTATAGAGCTGCAAATAAGCTAGATGCCTATTTTCCCTTCTCTTGAGTGAGGGAGATAAAACAAAGTACGCATTTGATCAGCCATGCCACTACTCACCAGAATGGCGTCACCGATGACTTAAGTTCACGCTAACCGGCACCCATACGCCCTCTTCACCGATAGGGATGTACATTAGTTGATATTATGAACACGAATCAGTCTGGCCGTGCAATGACTCGTTTTTGCTTACAAACGTGCTCAACATTGTCTCATCTAGCGAGTACTTGCCTTCTTGTTTCGCGTCATTTGGAGTAGCTTCCTGTGAAACATCCCCTATCCATGATTTATGGCTGAGTACTGTTCAGCCTCACAGCAATGTATCAACATATTGGTGACAGTGTTGCGCTGCTTAGCTGTTGATCGACCGAGCTTCTCAAGTGGCTTGAGAACTTTCACCACCGTGTGAGAATATCGTCAGTGCACGGTTGAGTAGGTATTTTCTCGGGCTCCCGTGCGTTTCACAGATTTATGTGGGACTTTTCTTCTTTATTACATCCAGTAGTCATTCGGTTTGGCCCTCTGAATTGTTGGCCCATTTCCAAATTACTTGTGCTTTCTACTGGCTTTGAATTTTCCATTTCACTGCTACTTTCCGTCAATTTTTTCAACCTTCACTTGAGTAGTTCTGGGCTTGATTGAGCCAAAGCTTCTTTGTATTAAGATGTGTCTGTTGATGGATTTCTCGGCTGAGTGCAACGAGTGAATGAAATCAGTTTCTTTCAACCAGCAGAGGTGCTTTGTTTAAGTTTACCTTGTATCCTTTTCGTTTTCTTGCACGGAGGCGAACGATCATTGATCGTGCCACTCAAAGGCAAGTTGATTTTTGTGCATGCTGTTGAATAGCTTCCTTTCTTCCTGTGCCGCGGACTGTTTGTCACCGCGCTCGCACCGAATGTGGTTCACGTTTTCTAATTTCCGAATTTGTTTTGACAGTACTTTACGAAATGTGTTCGTAAGTTTGTAGACCAACGTCATATGGTGTTGTCGTAACATTCTTCAGTCAGTGCAGAAATATTCGCGATGTACTNTTTTACGTTCCCTTGTGTTGCTGGATTTTTCTTGTCACTTTCTTCAAGGATCCCATTGTAACGTCTCCTGGACAACCCTTACCCTGGAAAATCTTGTATAATCGTACTTATTTAAACTAAGATCACTCTTACAGTTATCTGGAACCGAGTATTTTCTTCGTTCGCTAGTGACAGGTTCTTGTGTTGCTTCCATTGGTTACGCTTATTTAAAAGGCATGAAGTATCAAACCGAATCCGTGACGCGCGTAACCTGGTCACCGTGGTTGTCCACAAAAGTAGAGTTACCGAATTTAGACTAGCTGTTGTAGGGTTGTATTTCATGCCTACTTATGAGTAGTCTAAAAAGTATATTCTGGTATGATGACCTTTACATCATCTGAGTAGGACACATTTTCAGATAGGTTTGGTAATCAATCGGTGGATTTATTACTGGGAGACGAGACCAATTAAATGTACGAAGGTTCATATAGATCAATCAGCCACGAGTTTGCACACCAGGATCGATGAACATGAGCAATGCACGAAGAGCGATCTGAAAAGCTGATGAATATCACGTAATAGTTAAAGACGCGACAATAGCCGGGCATGTCTCGAACACTGGGAAATGTGAAAGGTTAGATACAAAAACTAAGAGTCACACCACATCAGCTGGTGACCATCGCCAAACATCCTGGTATGAATAAAGTGGAGAGGTAGAACTGACAAGCTTGTGGAGAGCTGTTTTTGGGCCAGCCCAGACGACACGAGGCAGTGTGCGGTTATTAGTGAAACGATATGAATGAAGAAGTACAAAAACCCAAATATAGTTAGATTCACTTAGTTCTCCTCCAGAACCCAGTTCAATTGTTCTGGTGCCGCTCAACTCACACAGACCAACAAAATCTTTACGGTGTCCTAGACCAGAAAGGAAAGGCCCTAAAATACATATTCAACATGAGGACAATCCACCAACCAGTCCTTGAGTGCTGGTTGGGACCTGTGGCTGTCTCCACTTGAGGAGTCAGTAAATTTTTGTTGATACACTAATGCATAGTTCAGTTGTAAGATAAACTGTATGAACGACTGATTTGCATTAAAAACCACTTTGGCTTACTCGAATAAGGCGGGTTCTAGTGAATGATGACTGTTAAAATGATTGGTTTCGGTGGTTATGATCCTTAGCTGGGTTTCCCATAGTTATCGCGCATAAAATAGTGAGACAAAAGAACTTTTGGCTTCATGCGTCCCCTGAACATATGAACATACTACAAATATGTTATTTGTCATTTTGTTTCACTTATTTTTTGTGTCCTCACCCACCCACCCAAACAAAGTTCACAGTACCTTCATCGAGCCCGGACTATCTAACTTACGTGAAAAACAAAGTTCACAGTACCTCCATCGAGCCCGGACTATCTAACTTACGTGAAACTAAGCCAGTCTCCAGCATTTTGGCTCGCTCTCCCCATTGCTGTATTTGTCGCGAACCTGCCGGCGCTGCTCTGGCGTGCATACTCGGACATTTGGCTGCAGACGTGTGCTCAGACCGAGATGCAAGGCGTTGAGGCAAAACAGAAAACCCAACGGACCAACTCCAGAGGAAGGAGCTTGCGGTTTTGGTTGGACAAGGATAGATGGAACGAAAGTAACCTCTGTTTCCAATCACATGACGCTTATTTCAGCGGGGATTCGCTTCGTCTCCGTGAGGTTGTAGAAAATAGTAAGCGTTAATATGGCTGCTATATCATAAAACTAACCCCTTTTACCCATCACATGACGCTTATTTCAGTGGGGATTCGCTTCGTCTCCGTGGGGTTGTAGAAACTAGTAAGCGTTAATATGGCTGCTATATCATCCCCACAAGCACGTGAAATTATTTTTGTCTGTCTCGATTGAATGTACTTCATACTGATGACAAAGAGATTGATTCATTCTGTAAATTACCAGCACAGAGTACTTTTGCGACTACCACGTAACGTACCAATTACTGGTTTTCATCGATTGAATGCCGTTTTTGAGATAAACTGATATCACGGAGGTTCCAAGTGACCATATGTGGTCACTAAAAAACGCACACGTCGTCTGGTACACACACAAGCGTGAAGTCCAAAACTGAGACGTGGATATGGTTATCTGAACTCTGTTAGGAAGTAAGACTAAAATTCGCTATAGTCGTTGTTTGAAAATAGAAACGTCAGTGGTTTGTAACACTCATTGTATGTAACACGTGACACCAATCACCACACACAACGTCATGTTAGTTGCTCCAACCAAAGCAGGTCCATACAAACGGTAATTCAAAGCAATGCATACTGCCATAAAATTTATTAATCAAGCCCTCGCCTAGGTAGTGGAGGCTGGGCCACGCATGCCTTGTTGATTGAAAAGGCACCCCGGAGAGATTGGCACCTATCAAAGTATAGAGGACCCCGCATGCATTCAACATCAGGTTAGATTGGCACTCGACTCTATTCCTCAAAAGGGGCTTGTATGTATTACAATGTTTACAGTCCACTCTTGTTTGTTTCACTCAGCTTTCTAGCGTCTTTGAGAGGGTTCTGCCCATGTGTGCTAACCTTTGGTCAAAAAGAAGATGACCAGACAAAATGATTGATTATCTTCATTGAACGAAGTGATGTCTCGCTTATGACTACCGCATTGAATCGTGAAATGATACCGGCAACTCGAACAAACACATGCACTGCCGAGAATTCCTTCATTCACAAACTGGGGAACTTTTCACCAAAAAGTTTCTCATGATTCCAGTGAGACTAAATATTGCTTCACAATGTCACTTTTCATTGTGTTCGTGACGCGATGTCTGAAGAACACCGCCTTTCGAACACAAAAGAATGGAAACGGCGAGAGTGAAAAAGATTCCAATTCCTCCTAAGGAACAAGATGTCTGAATATGTGGACGTTCTCAAACGAGTTCGATGAAACTCTTGTATCCTGTTTAGCACATGGTACTGTGATTGTTGGTCCAGCTGTCAGAATGTGACAGGGGTGGACACAGATGGTCTTCGTGTGCCCGTGGGTAGGTTTGTCAACTGTGTAGCCAAGTCTCCAAACTCTGTTTGGAGTTACTCGTTTCCGGATCCTATCCGAAGTACTTGATTTCCCCCTTGCTATCACTATAGGCTTATTGACTAGGATAATGTTGGGTTGCATCTTGATTAACGGAACTATACTACAGGACATTTTGTCAGTTATGAAATTCTTCACACTGTCGTTCTAGTCAGAATGTTGTACTCCACTTACTGTACTGCCATGAGACACCTGTGGGTGCACATGGTGCCCCTCTTGCGTAGGTATTCAACAATGTTAGCAGCCCGTGATGACGTAAAACTCAGGCAATCTTTGAGCACAGAAAATTCTCGACATTCCAAGGAATCTTACACATACTGCCGAATGAAAATCAGCTAGAAAGTTTGGCAACATGCCCGATTTTATACAATTCTTGGTTGAATACCTATCGTACATATTTTCGTTTCTTTTCAGAGACAGTCGTGGACACAGAGCATGTTTAGTGAAGACCATAGCCGAAACACGAACTTTTATTCATCCTTCTTTCCTGTTCTTTACACCGACTTGTATCAAAGTTTTGTATACTTTGATTAGCTTGCGTTCGCGTTCAATTTAATCTGGGCACATATGGGGAAGTAAAATCTAGTATACACTGGTTTAACCATAGTCTCGTCATTCAATTGACCATGCAGACCCCTTACGAATAGTTCAAAGGAATAAAACATCAACTCCCCACCGAACGGGGGGAAATATACGAGACAAACGGGGTTCATTGTTGGTCAGTGAGGATTAGCCCAAGAAAATGCAAGTATTTAACACGAATATACGGAAATTCATCCATGTAGGAAGGCTGAGTCTTCAACCTGTACTGGCACGTTCCTACCACACTGGTTCGTATTGACATCATCTTACAAATTTTACTGCTAGTGGACAGAGGAGCAAAGTGTCAGGTCAAACAATGGGGAGGACAATGGGGGGTTCTTTCGAGTTGCATACCTCGATGTGTGAAATTACCCCAGTAATCCAGTGGAGGAAGTTTTGAAAGCGGCTCTGTTAATTAGGATGTAAAAGGTTGGAAGAATCGTCAAGGATGTTAACGATTTAATGAGAATTAATGACATGTCATTCTGCAAAGGCTTATTTAACAAAACTAGAGGCGGGGTGACATGCATGTACGCATGCATGTGCACTGCATGTGACAGATAGTGTGTGTAGAATACTTCGGCGTATTCAGGAGAGCTCACTTGAGTGACGCGCAAAATCACAAGCCAGAAATTGTGGATTCTCGAGATTTATCAAGAGATGCGGTATTACATGTATAAAATACGTAATAAAAGGGGTACAAACGTAAAATTATGGGGGTTTCCGTCTAAACTGTTGCACGAAGCGGTGCAAGTCCAAAGAAAGCCCAGGGGAAATAGCAAATCGATCTTAGTTTGCGACGCACGCCTGGGTACAAAACGTGGTAACGCAAATAGGTCAAAAAGCCCGCGTAAAGAATGGCCGACCAAGCTGGTTCGACAAGCCACGGGTTAAAGTTCATGAGGGGTTAAAAAATGTAAATTGAGTCCATGGGACAAACGTAGTAGACAGCAGCAGATAAGAGAAGAGTTTGAGGGGGGGGGGAGAAAGTACAATGTGCGTGAACAGCTTATCGCCGGAAAGTAAAGTGTGATGACAGGAGTGTAACAATTCAAGATGTAGATGGGATTCTCCGGCCCAAGCCTTAGATCCGCAATGGTTTAAAATTGTCAGGACGCGTCCAGAGGGCGTCCAATAGCCTCACAGTTCTCTCAGCCGCAAAATTTCTACGTGTGGAGCAACACTTTTTGCACCAAAATATTACATTTTGTTGCGTATGTGCTCAAACCAAAAACTGTCCTAATCAACGTTCGCATTTTTGCAGCTCACCAAATTTCGTTGTCCACTGAAGTAGTCATATCTCTGGCAGAAAAGTCTAGTGGAATAATTTCCCTGCATCGCTGAAGCCTAAATTGGGCTCAAAAGTTTGAACTGGTACTCTTAACCCAATTGCCCGATTTCTTTGATCCATCAAGGCCACCTATAGCTGTCGAAAATTCAATTCCATTGGGCGAATACTGAGCGCCTCTCCAGACATGAAAAGTACATGTGCGGAGAACGACCCATCCCCAAGGTCATCATAGGTAAGATAGCAGGTGTGTTGGCGTAGCTTACCAAACGGCTTATCAGTATGCGACCGTGGGATGGGTGTGAAAATGCTCACAGCAGGAACGTAGCCATTGGCTAGAGGGAACGAACAATACAATGACCATATGTGAACATTCAGCCATCCTATTTACGCGGTAGCCCTGGAGGCTTGCCCTGACAATATAGCGGTGTCCCAGGTTGTCTGGGTTCTCCTAATCGCGTAGACTGGCAGGCTGAGTTCAGGTGCAGCAAATAGACGGCCACCCGCGATACAAGAGAGATGAAGTAGCTGACAATTCAGCTAAGGGACTGGCACTGGCAAACTACATAAGTGTTCTATTGAGGATTACGCGGAACAGTGAAGCACGGATTCGATAATCAGCGACAACCTTTTTTATGTCCACATCCGAAAGTCACTGCTTAGGGAGCATAAATTTTTTGTTCCACAATGTGGTGACCATGTTGCTCGTGGGGGTGGTAAATGGTACTAAGAGGATTCGAAAACGTCCAACGTTCCCTATAAAACTGTCGGTACACCCAACTTGTAGAGTGAACACCCGTTTGCATTCACTGTTCGACCAATATGTTCATCCTGAGTGTCCAGATAGACCGTCGATAGAAATTATAACAGGAACCACAAAACGACAGTCCACAGGTTGGACTCAGCCACCGGCAACTCAGGTTTATTTGTAAGTAATATTACCAAACGGTTATTCTTTTAAAAGAAATGAAATTACCCTTGCCAAGGCCAAACGCTTGTTTGTTTCCGTCTTACGAAAGTGTACCCGACCGAATAAACCAACAAGCAGGATGTAACGACACACACTGAGATGAACCGAATATGAATGCAACTCATATCTAAAACAATCCACTCATAATTTAATAAATCATACGTAATAAGACATATCAGTCTAATACCAATGCCACACCATCATAAAAATTGTGCAGAACTTTGAACACAGCTACGTTTCAGTGCTTTTGAAAAGTGTTGTTCATAGTTTGGAAACGTGGTAATCAGCCTATATCAGTTGATCATATGTAAAAGACATCAGTTTCTAATACCAATGCCACACCATCATAAAAATTGTGCAGAACTTTGAACACAGCTGCGTTTCACTGCTTTTGAAAAGTGTTGTTCATAGTTTGGAAACGTGGTAATCAGCCTATATCAGTTGAGCTGTTGGCCTGCATTTGTGAACGTGTTGCTTTCGTTTAACTGAAGACGGTTAATCAGTCCCTGAGGAGAGAAGCTGTTCTGATGAACTTTCATCTTGGTGGCCACTTACCTCCGTGAAAGTCAGTTTCTTTCTGAATCACATGGATATTTGAAATCCAAAAGCCCCTCAGTATCGCAAGGACTCTTTGAGCAATGAGCTTGGTTCCAACTACGCGACACCGTTTGCAAACCTCCACTGGAAAGTCTCCAGACTTGCATTTGCATTGTAGCTCACCTGTTGGCATCACCGTCCTGCTGCATAAACATGGACAAGCTTAGTGGCCTGGATTTATGGTCATTCTCGTTAGCCGGAACAAAGGTTAAATTTTCAACCCTCCAGCTGAACAAAATTTCGCCAACCAGAGCTCAGAACAACTCTGGCCGGCTTCCTCTGAATAGCTTCAGAACCCGGTTTGTCGCGTTCTTCAGGGATCGTTTGAGGACCTGTATGTTTCATTTAGGTAACCCATTATCATTGCGGTTTTCATGAGAATTCCCAGGTTGCTTTTGAGGATCAGGTTTATTCACGACGGAACAATTCATTGGATAAACGCAACATACCTTAGTATTCGGAGACAAAATTACAGTAGATTAACAACATTGTTATTTTGGTCAATCCTCATTTCTTATTGGCGTACACGCAGTCTTCTTACAGTGGAAGCTGCAATTCGCCTAGGTCTGAATGGTTCGGCTTCTGATGAGTCTTGCATCAGGGTATCAGTGTTTGCTGACAGTGATTTCAGTGTTCATCTGAATTGCTGACAAAAACGAATGAACTGAACGTACTGACGTGATGACCTTGGAGTGCGTTGACCTTCATTTGCACTGTGAAATACTGATAGGATTGGTCTGATTGGCTGATCGTGTGACCTGTTGGAGGCTTTGCATCAACTCCTACCGCTAAAATGGTCCCATCGCACTTACCTACCACCCAAACACAGGCGTGAAATCCGTACTATACGAAATGATCCGCGAGCGCTGAGTATACAGGATATTTCGATTGAGTGCTAGCGGAAGACAACCTGAGACCTGGCAAGGCGGGGCTTAAAATTATCATTATTAAAGCTTCCTTGACCTAAATGAGCGACTGCGCTATCCTGGATGTGTACCGATAGCCTTGCTGTGAGATCAATGATTTCGACTCTTGTGCTCGGTGAACTAGACGGATAGATTGTGCTTCGCACAGCTTTCCTTAAGTGTCTTACTGTGATCAAATCCCGAACAGAAAGGCGCAGTATGAGGCAAGTTAACGCGATAACCTGGGACTGGGTGTCTTCTGGGCTTTTCTATGGTTTGCGGTGGTCTGACGGGGTTCCAGTAAAGCACTTCCATGTACAAATCAATCATCAAAGGACTGTGTGTACTTTCCGGCAGCTGATGACCGATGATCCCCCTCCAGTCCTGCTGTAGTGATCATCAAATCACTGTTTGTACTTTCCGGCAGCTGATGGCCGATGATCCCCCTCCAGTCCTGCTGCAGTCTATACGATTTTGCGTATGGAATAATGGCTATGACATATCATTATATTGTGTTCACAAACACATACACGCCCCTCACTATCGGCTTCGCACACTGTCCTTTTAAGCACTGCCTCAATGGTTACTGTAGTAGAATTCGTGAACTTTTCGTTTTAGCTCAGTATACGCTCACCTCTCGTCCCATTTGAGTTCAACAATATTTACGAAGGATTTCGAATGAGTTATGTCACCAGAACCCATTAAAAGTGATAGGTGCAGTTCGGTAGAATGACAAGATCAACCATCACCGTAAGAGAATGTAGGATTTTCCAAGAGGTCATTCCATGGCGAGTTCACAGAATTTCTAGATCTTGATAACTTCACTTCCGTAATCGCTACTGTCAAAGCCGGTTCTGTAGGCGCTGACACAACTTTCTCAAACCTTTGTTTGACACAGTGTGTATTCGTTATTTTGAATCTCACTAAATAATCCGAGATCCTTCTTACACGCTCATCTGCATACTAATTTGGTTTTGACAGAAGACTCACCAGGAACCCAAGTGAATCTCACGTCAATCCAAGATTCTGCTTACACTTAGGGGTGTTAGACACCTGGTGGCTTAACAACCAGTTCTTTCTCTCTATGCGTATGCTCAACTGGGAGAACTGATCTCAAGGTCACATGAAGAGGCAGCGTGCTTGTAGGCAAAGCTGATCGATACGTCAGCACACACGTGAACCGACCCAACAAAGATGATGTTTGACTGCTCAGCATCATCGAGTAATTCGTGAACTCAGAGGAACAAACCATTTATTATTTGTATGAATAAAAAATCATTATTTTCCTCGTCAAAGGTCCAGATGTGGCGGTTATGGAGAGAAAATCTCATCGAGCGGAAAGCGAAACGAATTTTAGCAGATGAACAGACATTCAGAATCCGCGATTCAGTGGTTGATAAAGCACTTGGTCGATGAATAGATGACTCAGATGCTTTAAATATTGCAGCTGAGTGCCGTCCGATTGGAAACAAACCTCACTCAAATCTTGGTGCGCCAAAATTGTAGGCCAAAATTGTAGGGTGTACCATCACGGTCAATCCCTTGGATGAACAAAGGCTTCCACTAACCAGGTAACACTTTGAACCTTGTCTGCATCAGTTTGTCTTTCCATTCTTCAAGGAATTCATTTGAGTTGCCGTACAAACTTGGAGGTCTTTTGTTGAGTTCGTACACTTCTATGAGATAGTTGATTTGATCATGTATGTGACTCTATTCTATCGAACAACATTACTGCAGAAAGCTTTGCTGAATACATCAAAGATTTGATCACATTGTGCACTGAAAGATTGCGATTGGATCTGGAAGAAAAAGCTTTTAAATGGATTGACGGTGGTGCTCAGTGCGATTGAATTTGGAAGAAAAAGCTTGTAAATGGATTGACGGTGGTGCTCGAGGTGTTTTCAGCAACCTTGTGAGTAGCTTTCTTTATGAAAATATACTGCGATATCTCGAATATCGTGCCAATTGAAACATGAGGCGGCCTGTGTGCAGCACATTCACTTGTAGAATATCATAAAGGAGAGATTGAGTTGAGTCTCTCGTGAAAACCAAATTGATTTCCAAATGAGTGTATTTCTCGAAGATTGTTGATAGTTTCTTCTAACATGACTTGCTGCTGGCTAGATTTCTGAAAACTCTTCGATGGGTTACCACGGATTTCGTCTTTCTTCCAATCGTACTTCACTCTCCCATTCTGCTTGAACGTACGCAATTGGTGAAATACATTCGTTTGAAACATACTTTGTTGACTCGAATAAACGAATAAATTTGAAAGATATTACAAAGGTCGTTCGCGAATCGTCCAGGATGCATGTCCCTCTCAAGGGTCCTTCTAAAAGCACCACTGGCTCACACGAGAAATGACCTGAAACAGCCACCGTGGTTGAATCATACTGTTCATTCGTTGGCGTATGAGCCTTCCTAAACCAGTAGTCTTGTATATGTAAGCCATGATGTTTGCATCGTACAAATCTCCAAGTTGATTTAAACTTGCAAACTTACAAGTGATCAGCGCTGTAATTAAATCTCTTTACACGGAGTATGGCGCCACTCATTTTTCGATCAGAGGATTCACCTCATGTGGGCACCTGTTGACTAGTTCTGGCAGTTAGTCAAATAGAAGGCCAAGTGTTCACGGGCAGTGGTGGCGCTTCCCAGTAAGGACAGAACAGCCGCACAGGGTTCCTCCACTTTCCAGCACACAATGACTTCATTTGCAGGATGAAATCCCGACCGAAAGATAATTCGCACCGATTTGTATTCTTTGACATTTCGCCTAAACAACCAACTGGAAAGTTGTTAGTGATGGAAAAAAACTAGAACTGATCGTTGACCTCAGCATCTGGGGTACTGTTTGTTCCTGCGCACTGCTCTGAACAGGGACCCGGATGAACGACCAACCTACCGAGTCGCAAATTCTACCTGTTCGTTATCCACACTTGAATGTGTAGTTGAACATAAGCCAGTGAAAACGCTTGTCTTTGACCTTAGTAGGACCAAACTGAGCTGTGGGACTAATATCCACCAGATGCCTAACCAACCAATCTACCAGTGGCCCCCGGAGTGAATCGTCAAGTGAAGCACCCTGAAGTGGAAGATTAAGGAACGAAAAGCGATCGGAAGTAATTTGAAACTCCTCCAACCCACCAATTCAAGATTTTGACACCCACGCTAGCCGACAAGAGCTGTTAATTGACACTCAACACTGATCTAGTGTGAAGAGGACTTACTGATTGGTTCCCCGTCTGTCTTATAACCTGGCCAATTTGGTGACCTGTTCACTTGGCCTGATGAAGCTTTTGTGTCAAAAGCGAAACGTTGCCCAAATAAAAACTACCGATTGTTTACCAAGCTCTTCTGAAACAATCCACTTTCAATACACAAGCGTCTGTTTGGTAAGGTGCTTTTACCATGTGAAAAATACCAATCACAAGATAATTACAACGCGGAAAAGTGTGAACGTAATCAATAGAGAACCAATCGGTAGTGGGAAACCAGAATATGTATAAAATGGAAATTTAATATCTGATCTGTGTTTCGATGACGCCCGCCTGGGATTATCTGACCTGCCCAGGAAAGAAATCGAAGGATTAATGTTAGTTTCCGGAATAAGGAGTGGGTATAAAGTCTAGAAAATCACCGGAATGGGATGCTAACACAATTCCGTTTGATTTCCTGCCACTTATTTCATCTGTGTGTCAAATGTGCAAAGATCTAATTGGATCTTATCCGGATAAGCCCCACCACTAATGCAAAAAATGCATATGCGGAGAGTTAAGCCCCGCCACTTTTTGCCAGCTCCAATTTAATGTAAGCACACAACCTTGATCTATTTTTGAGAAAAACGACCCCTTATCGGCACGTAGGCTCACGTCGTGCAAAACATTTGCTCCGTTCGGACGTAAATGAACCTTCTGACGCTTTTAACTCTCGTTCATGACAAAGAGACGGCAATACGTTTCTGGCAAAGCCACGGAGTGATCCATCAGCAACGTTTATGAAACAATGGCCACCAAATGACACTTTCAACTGTTTCTGACACATTGAGGTGTAATGCCCGGCAGTGTCGGCAAGAAATCGGTCTTCGAAAGGGAACTTGGCTAGAGCTGTCTAGGATGGGGATAAGGACAGTAATTCTATTCATTAATTGCTGGTCCAAAAGTTTGGCAAAAGTGAAATTCTGCTCAGAGGAATTTGTCTATTAGCCACACGACCACTGTTGACTGAAGAAATTTTTTCACGAAGTTTGCTCCTGACGGCTTCTGCAGACTCTGACAGTTGTCGGCGGCCCAGGTCTACACGTCGAGATCGATGAAACGTTAATATCTTACCATAATAACCACACAGGGCGAGTCCATTCCCCAGCAGTGGATTTTCGGCACACACCGATCTTTAGTGGAAAGCTACTTGTGTGGCTTCGTTTGGAGGCAAAGGTACCGAAAAACAGACCTTTTCATGCAACTTATTGATGACATGTCCCAATTTCACCCTCATCAATAAAAACTAAATGTACGGATTTCATATCCTCCTTATTCTAATCTTTTTTGGGCGGAGAGGGGGGGGGGGTAATTTTTTGGCGGGGCTCATCTGGAATAGATCCAAAGCGCAGGAAATCACCCAAAGTAAAGGTCTTTTCTCCATTCTATTCCATAATATGGTGAGTATGCGGTAAACGTATCCCAGTAAAGATGTCTTTCTCTGTTTATCACATCATCATCATCGACAGCATGACATCAGTGTTCAACACCGAAGTTTCACTGCCGTACAACCATGACTTATTTGAAAGCCTTATTGTAAAGAAAAGAATAAAGGTGGATGGGGGAGGGACTTAGTGCTAGCTTAACACAATCATTCCGAGGTGCCTACACCTCCAGACATTCACTCAGGCAATCAGGACAGAAACTGACAACAAGAACGCCACTGACACCGGTTGGCAGCCATATCTTCTAGTGTCTCCAATCAGGCACAGTGAAGATCACGCGGTCCCCATCCTGGAAGGCGAGTAGCACCGACAGCACCCAAGCGTTTCGTGATCTCAGGGGTTGGCCACCTATCTGTTTACGCCACTCCGAATTGGGCATGGAAAACAGTACTATCTTCGGCAAACGATGGTTCGGCATACGTAACACATGTCCCAACCAACGCAGCTTCTGGTGCTAGACACATTCTTCAATGGAAGTACCCGTTACACAACCGAAAACACGCTGTTTTATTACAAACTGTCCATTTCCTGTGGTCATCAAGTTGAGAAGCGACTCAAAGTATTTGCTGGGATTGTTCATCACTTACGTCTATAACTGCCCTCTTCAGCTTCACGAAGATGGGGAGATTATTGACGGAATTCCCTGTCACTTAGCGAGCGAGGTTGGCTAGTCTGACTCCGTCGATTAATCCCTAACCATTGGCGCAAACTCATTCTCTGCATTTGTGTCCGCTGGGATTCCTGTTGTGACTCGACGCCGTCCGTCTCGCTGTTGGTCTGCGTCTGCAACCAGAAGTCCGAGGATACGCGCCAAAGCATTGCTGGGAGGTTAGCCACAATCACAGAAATGGGGAGGGCGAACCAAAACGCTGGAGACTGCATTATTTTGATGTAAGTCAGAAAGTCCAGACTCGACGGGGGCACTACGAACTTGTTTTATGGAGGGAAATTAGAAGAGATTGGTGTAATAATGTAACTTTTACGTGTCGGTCTTGGTTTTTTTTTGAATAAATTTTCTCAAGCCTTAACTGTTCGAAATCGATAGCTGTCTTATATAAACACATGGGAACTCGAAAAACCGTGTTTAAAGTCTAATCCTATTAAATATTAAATATGTACCCACGCTGTTGTTGGTTTTATTCACAGTTTTTCCGTCATTACGGGTCACCAGATTCGGGGGACACAAAGTGACTTTTTCCATTGACTGAGTTTCCGTTAGACAGCTTCTACCATGGGAACGATTTCGAGGAACAGATGGGCAAGACGTTTCAAAGCACTGCAAACATTTTGGGCACAGCATTTTCACAATTTAGATACAAAGAAATTTCGCGCACTGATGACTAGAAATTTTACTGGATATTATAATGGTATTAGGCGTAATGTTCAGCAGACAGGCCTCTTAGATACGCCAAACTGGTTTGCATACACAAGTCGTACGGAAGTCGGTGACTAGTTACATCAACCAAGGAAAAGGTGTTGTAGTTACTGTTCATATAGGCAGTGATTGTATGTGATTCCTCAGACTGCTTCAAATCGTGGAGACAAAAACAGCGCAACCCTGCACAGTAGACTCTTTAAATCGACTTTCAGACACCAAACACGACCGTTTTTACCAATTGGCAACTACGCGAAAGCCATGAGGTAAGCCGGAAGCTCTGGTGTCTTATTTTGCCTTTCTACTGTTGAGTACAGGTCCTGACTTTTCTTCAGTTTGTTTTGAGTCTGTTGTAGATCAAATTTGATCCGTATGACAACTGCAAATCTGTCAAGACCCGTATTATTACTTGTGCTGACGAGCTAAGTGATTGTGTGTGGCTTTGAACCAGTTACCACTCATCAAACCACATACAGCAACGAGATCCACCGGATAAGTAGAAGCACATGATCCCTGACCACGTATCACCCACCGAATTAATCTTTAGTTATTTTCAATTCATGGGACGATTCTTTCCATAAAAAACCAGTCACCTTGGGCCGCAAACAGTCATTTCTGTTGAGGTGTTTCTCAATCTACACGACATGGAAAAGAAACGCGGGGAAAAAACTCAGACATTGGACGTCTGCTCACCAAGTGGGTGCTAATTTTTTGGGCACAGTTGGGGCGAATCAGGTATGAACTCCGGATGTTTACATTTTCTAGAAAGCAAATAGCCACGAGAGTGCATCAACCCCCGACAAACTGAAATTCGACGCTTCGATACCATCGAGAATAGCTTCTTGGCGCTCGGTCCATATGTCCTTGAGTTCAAAGTTCAAGCCTGTCACCTGGTCCTTGTGTTCTGGCTTCCGTGCTGCAACGATCCTGTGAGCTATACTGACTGGAACCCAGTTCCTAAAGTTTCCAGCATGTCAGGAAGGCCAACGAAACTCAGCTACGATGAACAGCAAGTCCTGGTACTACGAGTAATTGTATTGCGGGGCGGTCTGGAGTTTCCCTCAGACTTCTATTTATAGAGACAGTGATGACGCCTTTCTCCTAGGAAGGGGGAGTTAGAAAAGTCTGCCCTCACACTTCGATCGCCCAACGGTTGACCGTCAGCACCAGCGCGTTCAAAATATTTTTAAAACCAAAGTGTCTGGTTCTCCGGACAAGTCACCTGCTGTGCGCAACTGCATTATGAGTAAGATAGTAATGCCTTACTCTCTGCCTCCTCGGGCCAGGCTGGTCCCCTGCAGACAAATGGGTCGGGCTATTGAGTCAACGGCTCCAAGGAGAGTCCCCCAAATGCAACATCAATAATCGCTCTCCCGGAGTTCAGACTGAGTCAGAGGGTGGGAGCAAGTCCCCTCCCACTGCGTTGTGGGGCGGACTTTTGATTCAAAGGCCCAAGTTTGGGTACCCCTCTTCTTCAACTGGGGCAGCTGGGAAGGATCATTCACTCTTGCAGCTCTTCGATGACCGATCAGTTTCAAAGGTCACCAAATTTCCGTCTACTTCCAAACATTTCCGCACATGAGATGTCGTTTTCGGCACCCTTAATTTAGTACCAAATCAAACTACAAAAATTCAGAAATTACCTTGTAAAAGCTTGGGCAAGGGCGTTTTTAGATTTGAGCAGCAGCAATGCATGGAAAATATTCAGTATTTAGTTAGCAACCCGGAGTTAAATGTCGAACCATTATTATATATTATTATTATTATTATTATTATTATTATATATTATTCCAATTATTAATCTGATGATTTCTGGAACAAAGAAGAACAGATACTTTCTTCCATAAACGAGAGAACGCGGAAAATATCCGCGCCGGCTCACGTTTAGAACTAGTATGAACTGGACTTTTGTGTATTTAGTGAAATGACATATATATATATATATAGTTTTTGTATTGTATATACTATAAACTGTATGACTATATACTATATCCTAGATACAGAAACTCCCGATTATGGGAGAATTCAGGAAAAATTTTGGTTTTATTTGACTGTTGAGTGTAAAATGCGTAATTCTGGTCCATTCGGACCAGAATCGATTCTCACGACGCCGCTAGGTGGACTACCAAATTACGGCCAATCACTCCAAGTCTATATTGGGAGGACATTCATTCATCAGTGTAAACCTGTTCATTGCCAGTAAAAGGATTCGTACGCATACCGAAGAAGTCAAATAGAACAGATTTCCAGATTGGACCGAGACAGGTACCTGCAATCTTGCATAACCACGGAACCCAGCATCTTTTGCCCTGAAAAGGCTACGCCCGTTCGGAATTCCAATTTGGGCTATTTACCACGTGACCAGTCATCCCAAAGCGGCTACTGATCAAATTTCATGCTGTTCCAACTGAACGACTGAGCTCCAAGTCGCAGAAATCTTGCTTCCAGATCTTTCTAAGTATCGGTCTTTCTTTTCGCGGGTGCATCGAAGCTGATCAGCCGGGCTGATGAACATGTTTGCGTGTTTGTCCGGGTGTTCGGACAGTACTGTTGTGGTTAAGCTTTCTCAGCTATCACCACAACAACTTGGACAGTTCTAGGCTACACGGTTGCTGCCAAATGAGGATCTGATAAAACTGTACCTGCGCATGCCTGGGTCATATTACCGTGTTCTCAAGTTCACAAATGACGTCAAAACTGGACGATAAAGTGGGTGCATACTTTAGACGTGTCTTTTAACCACAAAAGGAAACAAAAAGCTCCCCATTTGTTGATCACTTGTTTGTCTTCGTCATCCACCCAAGGTTGTTCTAACAATAGTATGCGCATTTGAATTGCATTCTTTGTGATCCACGTAGGCCAGAGTTCAAAGATAAACTCGTGGAGAGTGCACTGATGGGCAAATACACCAACCAAAGAAATTTTCATTAGTGACGGAGACATCGAGGAAAATTAGGATCCTTATAATGGCTGTTGGTGCCGCGTAAGCTGACATGGTTCTGTGGCATTGATGCGTTGGTGCCGCGATAACGACGATAACATTTATGTGAGAGTATGCTAGCTACAGAGCAAAACAATAAAGAGACAGAAGATGAGGTAAAAACTGATAATGACGATCGGGGTGAGACTTTTGCGAGTCAAAACACGAAAAAAATCAGTTTCCCTCAAACAACCAATTTCCAGCAAACTGATTTACCTGCACAACCATGATAAGCAACAGGTTGAGCAACAGGGTGAAGATATATCCTCCTACCACAGGCCAGTTGATATCCCGTGACATGAAGAGCACTCGGAGATTGACGCTCACAATGATGTAAACCATAGAACTACCGCCGCATAGACCGATGTCAAAGTGGTTGCCATGGGGAGTTGAATCGAAGTAAACAGCCTCGGCGAATTGACCACCACCAGCAAGAAACAGGTAGACACTGTAGAATACCACCAAACCATGCCATACTCCATCCAAGACGAATAGAATAAGATGGGACAGGCGGAGGTTTGCGTTTCTGGAAATCTGACCAAGGATTGGAGAGAAAGCATTGCACAAATACTGCTGCATGTTGCAAATTTAGCGGCGCTTGATGCAAGATTTTGAGCGCTGGTTGCTAACTCTTGTACCTAGCTGCTATCCACGCTCCAATGCTTCAACGTCGGGTAATGACTCACCAAGAAGCAGCACAACGGCTTAATTGAGTGCAGAATTCACAGGCTGTCCGATCAGCGTTGGGTGAATACAGATCCGCCGTTGCTGCGTTGAGTGACTGCTTGAGCTTCCAATCATCAGGTGGCTTTGCTGGCCCATGTGCTTCCCTGCCGTGATTTTTGTGTGATTTGAATGTCTCTGTAGGTTTCCGATATTCAGTTTATTTTCAGGAATCCGACCTTCCTGACACCCTTTTGGTCGGCGCAGGTCCTACAGGAGGGAAGCCAACGTTCCGGGCTTGAAATCGTTTGCTTGCGATCACCGATGTGGAAACGCAATGTCAATCAGGTACGCCAACTGTGTATCCGATCCGAAAAGCGAAAGAACAGTCATTAGAACTCAGCCTGTCGCTGGAAACATTCGATCATCCAAGTCCAGAACTGATAGCCACTGCTTCCTCTGAATCGCCCACAACGGACCCCTTTCTCAACAGAGACGCTGCCCCGATTGCGTCGGAAAATAAGTGTAAACACAACTCAACTTGACCCGCGCCGGCAGTTTCACTTCAAACGGCCAAACAGGGGAGGTGTCAGGATGGTCAGATTCTTGAAAATAGTCCCAGAATGCTTGGAACCCCCTAAGAAACTCAGACCCCACCAAAATCGCAGTAGAGAAGTCAGCAAGTATCCAGGCCAGAAAAACAAGCTCCTGATTGAATGCTCAAACAGTCAGTCAGTTCAGCAAGGGCCGAAGAGTGGTCAGACACATCACGACCGACGATGCTGGTTTACGAGGCAGTTTGAATTTATCGTCGTCTCAAGGTCATCATGGGTGAACACGATAATTTCACTGACCACATATTGGCTTACCGTGTCAGCAAAAGGTGATCTATGGGGATCATTCCAAAGATCCTGTGCGGTTTCTCTAACCATGGAGAACTGTGTTGCTTAGCCGAAATTTTAGTGTATCCTTTTGAAGTCCTTTTGATCTAAGGCTCACTACTGTAACAGGATAAATTCGGAATAATTAAAGGATGACTCGCATATGATGACTGTATATCATCTGCGAGCACCGAACTGGAGTTTTTCGCGCCCAAAACGTGTATATGCTAGGTCAGCCGGTAAAATTGTAGTTTTTTCCTATCCCGCAGCACCTTTCATGACTTTGATTGGACAACATTTTGATGTCTACGGTAAGTTGTGTACAGACCACCACCGGTTTCGGCAATCTAAGAGCTGATCGGATTGGTCTATTTACTAAATTAACCAAATAAATGCAGAATTGTGCGCAGTTTGTGGTAAGCACTTATTTGCAAATCAAGTTTGCGTTGAAGAGAGGATCTAAGATGGATCGATGTTTTACACTATTATACACAACTTGCTTTTGTCACAACTGACTTTAGAGGCCAAGAATCTAGGGAGGAAAGTGAGCCACCTGAACGCAGACAGTTTGTTTTTCTGAGATCAGGACTTATCTTCTACTGGAGACTACTTTTTCCCACACATATTGCAGCAATCTATCCTAATATGCTCCATATGTTAGCTTGTAGCACGTGGGTATTCTCCCAGTGGGTAACTAGTCCCTATCCAGTGCAAGGCACTTCTTTGATGGAGGTCCATCCAAAGAGAGGTTACCATCAAAAGGAGCCCTCAGCAGGCGCTTCTGTTAGCCTCGACATGAGGTGCGTACGTTCAATGCGGGTTACCATCAGCAGAGAACATACAGACTCATTATATTAGTTAGGCCGCGTGACTTTTCAGCTAGAATTAAGTGCCGGCCAAGTGGCGAATTCCAAAGTCATTCACCTCCAGAAAGTTTGACGTAAATGAGTAAAATACAGCGCAATATGGCAAGGGCGTCTCTGAGGAGAACTGTCAGACTGACAGACTGACTGAATGCTTGGCTAACCGAAAGCATGAATGAATGACTACCTGGCCTGCTGACTGACAGACCGGCTGACCGGATATTCTCTTAATCGAATGGCACATAATTTACTTCTACAAATGTCTAAATCTGAACGAACTTGTTATGTTCATTAATTTCATTTTCGTTAATTAATTAATTAATTAATTAATTAATCGTTCGAAACGGATCCCAATTTAAACCTACCGATCGATACAGTTTCGCATTTTCCATCAGTTGTTCATCGGTCATGTGCCTTTCAAACATCCCAAAGGTCAAATTGGGCACGGATGTCAAGGTCAAAGTAAACAGTGTGAATATCAGACTCGAATGCCAACTATTTGCCGAGAATCCAGAGTAGAAAGTGAATATTATGTTGAGCGTCACCCACGCGACACATTTGAAGTAGTATAGGAGCATCGTGTAACTAATCCGGTGATAGCACCACTGCCCATGCACGAAAAGGAGGCGCTGGAGATGCCTGTGCGAGATCAGGGCAAGGGAGTGGAAGAGACAGCGGCTCATTAAAACTAGGAACACTCGGGTTTCGCAAAAAGCGTTCGAATGAGGAAGAATAAGGTTGATCACATGAAAAATCGACAGCTGCGAAGTAGGTAAAAAACCCACTGTAAGATGTCACGAATATAAAACATGTAATAAAGGGGTATACTTGAGGACGTCCACAACCAAGCACCTGAGTGGTTTTTGAAGTCCGCAGAAGGACAATTTGTGTAATGCCACAAAAAAGCAAATAAAATCGGGCGGAATTCTGACCAAGTAGAAGGTTGTTGCACAAATTGCAGAAGCGTTTGTTTCAGATTCTTGTTCGGAATAAAAAATTCGACCAACAGCAGCAAAGGGGGGATTCATCTGTCTTGATGGCGACGAAAATGCTGCAACTGAGGTGTTCCGACAGCCTCAAGATATGGCTGCCAAACGATGTCAGTGGCGTTCTTATCGTCAGTTTCTATCCAAATTGCCTGAAAGAATGTCTGGATGTGTAAGTACCTCGAACGGATTGTAGCAAATTGATACTTAGTCCCTTCCTCGTTCACCTTTATTCTTGTTCAGCTGAATCACGGTTGTACGGTAACGAAGCGTCGATGTTGAACGAGACTTCGTGCTGTCGATGATGATGAGCTTTGTGCTCTTCCACCGCCAGTCAACTCTGAAAGATCGATATCTGATTGAAAACTCATCCAGATTGACTACCATATCAGGTGACTACTGCGATTAATCAAGCAGGCAGTCGTGCTGTCGTGATGAGCTTTGTGCTCTTCCACCGCCAGTCAACTCTGAAAGATCGATATCTGATTGAAAACTCATCCAGATTGACTACCATATCAGGTGACTACTGCGATTAATCAAGCAGGCAGTCGACGAATCGTTCTGAATATGACAGGATATGTCAACTTTTCTGTCAACAACGCCTTCTATTTGCTTCCCTGTTAGTGACTTGTTCAATTGGCTGTGGCTTTACCATGACCATCGCATCAAGTTGAGTCAAGTCAGATTGCGGCCATTACCTTCAGATAAGACGTCTCAAATGCAAGCACGATACATGAGGACTGCCTCTTGAGGCATATAGGAAACACAACTGAGGAAGTGTCCATATTTGGGGAATGGATTAGAAAGCTTTGCGAATAGTGTTCTTTCCCAGTGCACTATGATTTTCACACTGGACAAACGACTTTGATTCGAACATTGAGTAAAAATTAAGTGAAATTATAGACGAGTACTCTGTCAGATGCGACATCCTATTGGTCGATGTATTATAGACAGATTAGGCTTGGAAGGATATGCACCGCTGAATTCTTGGTAGTGTAGGAGATTAGGGATTGTTTAATGCAGATCAATTCCTGCAAGCGAAGCTAATCTATGCTGCAAAGCCCAGAAGTACTGTGCAGCTGTTCCGTTCTTATTTGTATTCATTGACAGAGCGCATCTCACGAAACTCCAGAGGTTTTCGAACCTGCACCCTCCTGGCTAAGGGTGCTCGAACAGCAATGCGATTAGCCTGCACTCAGTATGTGGCATTGAGGTCTCCCAACCGTTCTCACACTACTGGCCGTCAACAAGTAGATTGGAGGAAGAGCAAAATTCACCTGATGGGTGAAACATCCGTCTAGGAAGTCACCACTTCAGAAGCCAGTCAACGTCTGTGGACACGTGATGATAATCCCGTAAGTGAAGGATGAGTGACGTCCTGTGTAAGTGTGAGCTTATGAATTTTCGTAAGAAGGGTGACGGCAAGAGTTGAATTGGAAGCATAATTTCTGAAAATCATCCCGTAGCAGTTAAAAACCGTGTAGCACTAGAACTGATACTAGACAGGGCAATGGCTTACGCCAAATAAGTATACTAGCTTTTCTTTCTTCCTTCGCTCCACACAGAACCTTCAACTGCAAGCAGCAAAACACTAATGTGAAGGACGCCAGACCCACTATTTTTTTTACTAAATCCCATTTTGTGCTGCGTTGAGAGGTTCTCCAATCATATTCAGAAAAGCAATATAACTTCCACAAAGAAATTTCAAACGCAAGTCAGCCGTTACTCTTGTGACGTTTCCTTCCTTTTTAATACTATTCTCACAAGTTTAAAATGCCACGTCACGTGTGTGAAGAAGCCTCGATGTGCAGATGAATCATGGTCTCAGTTGAAGTCACGTGATGTCAAGCTAGCGGTGTTCGAATGAAAGTAGAAGAGATATCATAGGAGTGATACAAACTTGGAAAATCGATTTGAAAGAAGGCGGAAGTGAAATGGATCATGGTGAAAAAAAAACGAAATATTTAGTGGATCAGTGTGATCACCATGAAAGACCGCAGCGTCAGTATTACACTGACTCTTCACTGTCATGAAACCGCAAAGTCTACATAGTTACACTGAAAGCCCCAAAGTAAAGAAACGCGAAACATTCGACGAGGAAGATACCTGGTGCTGACCTATTGCAGGAGGTGACTACAACTCCAAATTTTTAATCAGACAATCTTGAAGCAAAATGATGTCCACTTCCATTGTTTGGCCATCATCTCCCTCCGTACCTCCAGCCGAACACAATAGGGAATAAGAGGAACCCTGTCCTGAGAGTTGGTCAGATCACCCTCTAGAAAGTGTGTACCACAATAAAGTAAATTTCAAGCTATTTTACTGAAGGATAACCACTAATGAAGGCTTTTACTCGAAAAAATAGTCTATCGTGATAGGTCACAATTTTTACTGAAGGATAACCACTAATGAAGGCTTTTACTCGCAAAAATAGTCTATCGTGATAGGTCCCCATGGTCTAATCCCCGAAGTAAATGGCGTTGCATACGTGGACTTTCACGTTTCTTCGAGTTGGTGGGGGCATAGTAATGAGGGTCCGATTCTATCAACACGAAACGTATCAGTGCATTATCAATAATGTTCCAACAATTGCGCAATTCTAACGTCTTCTGAGATTTAGATGACTGCTGGTGAAGCCGTCCAACAACATAGATGAGGCCCGGGAAACGAGTTCACTCTCTCGACGAACAAAACTGTTCATTGCTTACACCGTCCTGAAAAACAAACAAAATAGCTCATATTCCTTCTATCGACGTAACCGTGCATTCCTCTCGTTCGTTCCTTGTGGACCGCTGTCGTCACCTCTGTTCTAACTGATTACTGCGGTCGTCATTATTCGTACACTGTTATCCATACTACTATTAGTAATAGTAGTACGAAGAGTTCCGGTTTGGAATATGTGTAGATCTTTGTCTGTGAGAATGCCAACCATTCTGATCAAACAGAATGCCATTAGGGGTAGCCAGATGTCCCTTAAAAATTCTAAAAATGGAGATTCGCCGCCGCAGGACTTCAA